CGCTGGTGCGCGAGGGTGGCCGCAGGGGGGCGCGCGTGCAGCGCGGGGCGGCACCGAGGGACGGGGCGTGTGGTTGAGATCGCTGCTCTCTCCGCCGCCCGGGATCTCGCTGGCCAGGCCTAGGATGACAGTAACACCGGGGCTCATATAGGGTGAGCACGTGTCTCTTGTCTCAAGGGCCCACGTCTGTCCTTGCACGTTTGGCTCAAATACATCCACAAGCCGTGACCATCGGCTTCGGGGCATGTGCACTGGGGATTCGTGCTCTGTGACACGGATGCAGTCACTGGTACAGTGTCCCCGGGGGACACGCTTAGGGGCTCATGTGTGTCTGAGCACTTACCAGGTGCTTGGGAGACCTTGCCCATTTCTCTATGAGGCATGTGTGTGCTCGTGAGCACAACCTGGAGGGACCAGGGACGCAGGTGCACCCTGGGGACATGGTGATGGACACAGGATTTCCGGCATCACACGTTCCTGTGTGCCTTACTTCATTCCCAATTCCACGCACTTGAAGACTCACTACCCCCACCCAGGTCCCAAAGGTCCCAGTCGCCCCAATAACGGGTCAGAAAGCCAGGAAGTTTTCCTTTGAGTTTTATCTTCACGAATCGCAAAACAAGACTGCAGGAATAAGTGGATACACGCAGGGCGACCGGCTGCACTTTCGTTGTGGAAGCAAACAAAAGCAGTGAGTGGGTACATGCATCTGTGTGCTCTGAAGATGCAGGCTGACATAACTGAGTGCAACCAGACTGACACACACCTCTCCCCGCGGCAGGGGTAGTGACACGGCACACACCACGACACCCACATTTATAGCCATGTCTTTCCACGACACGCTTAGACACGCAACATACCACCGTACGCACACGCATGTTCATGCTAACACACATGCAGCACGTGCCACAGCATGCACACTTTCAGTGATGTGCTTATGCACGCGTACAAGGGCACTTTGAAATATTTGTGAGAAAATGGAATTCAAGGGGACCAGCAGGTGACATGGCCAACCGTGGTTCGAGTCCTAGACCTGATGGCTTGCTTTCTCACTTTCCCTCTCTCTCACTCTGTGTCTCTCTCTGGTTACATTTAAATAAATGAATAAATAAATGAAATTAAATAAAAAATTTTTGGAGAGGTTTTTGGTCTAGGGCACCTACGCTCATCAGAAAGACAGAGGGACAGAAAGCGAGAAATCCCCCCCCAGGGGGGATGGCCACGCCGCAATCTCTTCTCCTCCATTCTCCTCTTGGGATCTTGGGCACACACGCACACGCGCCCAGCATGAGTTTAAGCCACCAGGTCCAGGACTCGAACTACGATTGACTACAAGGGAATCCAGCGACATAGCCATCACGCCAACTGCTGGTCCCAAAATTAAATAATTTTAAAAAAGAAAATAGAATTAAAGTACAAGTTTATTTTGGTGCAAAATGCTTAAAAAAAAAAAAAAAAAGAGGGAACCAGCAGTTAGCATAATGGCTATGTCGCTGGACTCCCACGTAGTCGACTGCGGTTCGCGTCCCGGACCCGGTGG